AGATGATGATTTTGGAAGCATGCAAGTGGCTACTGCACAGAATGGCTGACTCAAGAGCAACATAAGAGGATATGAATTTCTCTTTGGGAAGGAGAAAACACTAGAGACAATAATAACGTAAAATGGTAAAAACGCAAGTAGTTTCTTTTCAATTATATGTTGCTTGCAGATGTGTTTCTCTACAATTTACTAAGCAACATTTTACGATGTTGGATTTCTGCAATAGACAGCACTGATGGTTGTACTCCTTTTCTTTTCCTTTTTTTTTTTAAAAAACTTTACAGTTTTATTATAAACTAAGAATTTTGGACTTGCAAAGAGGTATTATTGCAATAATGCACTTTTCATACTTGAAATTTATTTGTATGATATAAAGTTATTACTTTAAACAAAATGCAATTTAGGGGAATTTGTTTATAAAATCTGGGTAATTTATAACAAAAGAATTTCCTAAAGGTTGCTAAAAATTCATTTTGTGTTCTATATATTACATTTAAAAAATAATTTTACAGTTCAGTTTTATGATGGAGCCCCTTACAGAAACATTAACAAATGCAGGAATTGGTCACATTTCTTTTTCAGTATAATTAAATAGCTTAAATACCCTTTTCTTTTTTAAAACTACTTGATCTCCTATCACTAATCTTTAAATCATGACATTAGCCAACTATTTTTACTTTAAGATGATCCAAGTATTGCTTCCTTTCCTATTACCTTCCTAATTTGTTTAGTCTATAGGAAAAAAAAGTTTAATGAACAAAAGATGTTTTGTTTTACAATACCAGATGCTCAAAAACATGGAGAGTTTTAGATTTTCAAGTGACTTTTCTTTTTGCATTTCTTAAAAGACAAATGTTGTGTTGGCTCTTTTTAGAGTTGCTTAGCCCATTTTTCTTTATCCAAAATGGTTCTAAATAGAATATAATAAAACAGTGTAGCACCGTTTTTTCCCGCTAAATGAAGCCCAAAAAAGTGCCTTGCATCATTTAAAAAAAATAAATCCTCATGACCTCTAAATTAGTATGTAGAACAATGAAAAGTTTTTAACATTTTTCTGTAATTTTTTTAACCCATAAATTAGTTTAAACTGAAAGTCAGAGGCTTGAAGGAATCTCAGTAAATAATTTAGAAATATTTACTCCTTTATTTTATATTGTCTTAATGATTCTTTGAGGTGGTTCTGGCTCAGACAGAAGCTTTTCTTTGAAGATGCATTTATTGGGGAAAGTGATTTGTGGGAGACTTTAGTGTATTTTAAATTCATGTATTAATCAGTTCTTTACATTGAGTTAATCCAAATTTGCCCCATAATTTGCATTAGCAAAGTCACTTTATGGATCCTGTTTATCCCTGTTTTTATTTATATATATAAATTGTTTTAAGAAAAACATTTTTGCTATTTTAAGTGTGATGTAAGGGAGGAGAGGAGTGTTTTAACTTTTTATAGTTGATGATTTAGGTTAGCACAAACAAAACTCCTTTCTATCTCACTTCTCAGTCCTCTCTTGAGGTGCTTTACTGATGGGAATGATTTCCATACGTTCCCTTGGTACCAAGAGGTACTATGCAAGGTAACATTACACCAAGTTACTTGCTTGGCTTTCCTCCCTAAAATGTAACAATACAGTAAAAGCTTGTTTTATCCAGCATAGCAGAATAGAAATGAATTAAAATTGCTTTGTTAATGAGTCAATTCCTGTTGACCCAGGAAATTCTCTTCTGATTTCTCTTCCCTTTCTCTATTTTACAACCCTGAAAACAACATATTGTTAATTCCATTGTAGTCTGTATTCTGTTGTATGATTAGGTCATTTGGTGTGGTTGGCTAGTTGAGTCAAGATTTGCATTGAGTGTTCACAAATTCCCGTTGGTAAAGTGCCAGACAATACAGCTTTCCTGTAAATAGATCACTTGGATAAGTCAGCAAAGATCTCTCTTGTAATCTAATATATGATGCTTCATTCAGAAAGTCTGCTCAAAAGAATCTTCATAGTAGTACATTTAGGTTTTTAAAATGAGGTAAAGATTTTTAAAATTAGTTTCTTAGGTATATAAATCCACTAGTAGTTGGGCCAAAAAATACAGATTTGGTTGTATGTTAATTTATAGCTAGTACTTTTCCACTTTTTCTAACCACTATAATTTTTATGTTCTCACTAAAGTGCCTGCCCAGCACTGTACATTAAAGACTGTCTATCACAAACACTAGGAAAAAGGACTGTCATGAGTACAATATTAATGTGGACAAAATGATGTTTATTCTTTCTTTCTTACAAGAACATTGCAAGTTCGTTTTATCTTGGATCCGTTCTTCCACCTAATTTTCAACTAGTTTGTCTGGTAGCTCTTCCAGTCTTCCTTCTATTTGGTTCCATTTCTGTAGTTTACTTCCACTGATGTTTTGTGATAGTTAACTACATTAACCAATCATGATTTGTTTTCTAGAATATTTGAATAATGTATAAGTGGCATAGTACCCAATTTTAAACATTAAATATGTAATCTGGGCACAGAATTTAAAGTGAAATTGCATTAAAACATAGGACAACGGTTTTATTGTCCCATTTTGAAAGTGAGAAACTTAAATATTGAAAATACTCGAACTGGAATGGCAGTATTCTAACCTCCTAGTTTCAACTAATTGTTTTATATTATCTATTAGATGTTTTAAATAGCAGTTACTTTTGTTTATTTGTATCTACTCTATGGTGGAAATGTTAAGTCGTGATAGCTTTTGCTACAAACTCTCAACCACTTAACTTTTAGAGCAGAATATATGTTTCGGGGATTTTGTGCTTCACCTGAATTTAGATGTCAGAAAATGTTAAGCATGTCCTCTTTTAGAAAATATAAGGTTTTTAATTGTCTTATTACCATGGTAATTCAAGTGAATTAGAAGTATTTAACTGCAATCTTGAATTATAAAGTTGGGATGTATATATATGCATATATATCAGGATCTCAACTGGTGTAAAGTAAATGAGCAGTTACCTGGTGGGTTTTTTTCCAGTAACTGGCTTAACCCACACTTCCACAACAAACTTAGCTTCACTTCAGTATTTACTTTATCGTTGTCCATTCAACAGTGCTCCAAAAAGGAAATGTTAGGAAATAGCTGAGAATTATTAAAAGATTTTATTTTTTGGTCAGAAAAATGTTTCTAGGGTCTTTGAATGCTGGATTTTTTTTTTTGTCTTACCCATCCATGGCAGCTAAAAACAAAAAAATCACTCAAAATATTCAGGTTTACATGTTAGCTCTCTTTATAGGGAGTTGCCATACCTCACAGTTCAGAGTGTATTCTATAGATCAGTAACATTATACTGACATGTAATTGCAATTTACTATGCAGCAAAAATTCAAGAAAAATAACCTACAGTGTCTACTTACCTTTGTATAGGCAATTGCTTAAGTTACTCTGCTTTTAACATTTGTACTTAGACAAAATGCTTATGTATGTATAGGAATGTCACAGTGCGAAATGCTGCTAGCCCAGACACAAAGTATTAAAATTATTTTGTGAAGATTGGTGGTTGTATTAAAACTGTTGTGCCGTTATACCTCAAAATGATTGAAAAGCTCATTTATACTGCTTATGCCTCAGAACTTCCTTACTTAGATTGTTGGCTTCTAGGTAGAAGTAATTTAGTTTTACTCCCACAGATTAAGAAGGATAAATGAACATTGGAAATTGTTAAGCACTTAAGGGTTTCTTCCAATACATTGTGGATACACACAAAAAATGTGGTTAATAGTCAATGCAAAACTCAAATTTCAGCTCAAGTATATTTTTAGGATTAGTTGATCAAGTTTAGAGTTGGAAGTGAGGAAATTCGTGCCTGAAAGAAATGATGGGTAATCTGTGAACAGTTTCCAGCCCATTAAAAAAAATACTACTGCTTTGTACCTCTTCCCCGTTAGGCCACCTAAATACTATTCTTCATCAAATCTAAGATGCCATTACTACACCATTATTTTAGATACTGCTAAAAGGCAAAATATTACTGAATAAACTATGACAAGCCCTTGATCATAAAATGCACCCAGATTTACATGTTACAGTGTAAAAAAAAAAAAAGGTGCATCTTAGAATCAATGAAATACAAATATACACAGATGTGTGGGGCACAATAAAAAATCACACCTGCCATTTCATTATACTTTTTCAAAAGCAAACAATGCTCAAATTTGTGAATATAGTTAAATAGCATTTTTTTTTACAGGGTGTTTGGGTTTTTTTTGCAGGGTTTTTTTCCTCGGGTATACTCAGTGTAGCTTAGAAAATCATAAACATACTCAGGTTAACTAAAGCTAAATACAGATCACCATTTTCCTCATAGCACAGTTTCTTTTTAATTTAATTTTTTCCCATCACCAATAACCCCCTCTGTGCCCTCTTCCACCTCCACCCATCCCCTCTACCCTGCAATCACCACACTTGTCATGCCCATGTCCATGAGTTCTCCCCCTTTTTTTTTTCTTTTTTGCTCAATCCCTCCACTCCTCCTTTTAGGAGGGATTAAAGTAAGACCTTAAGAACACCATTTAAAGGAATTTACTGAAATGCCAACCTTGTAGACAGTTTTACATCAAATTGTTCAGTGGTAAGAAATGTAATAAAGAATTTCATTTTGCCTTTCATTAGGCTTATTTTCTGACATGGGTGTACTTGATAAAGCTACTGGCGTGGCAAGGCTGTGGGAACTCCAGTAAAGGCAAAACTAGCTTTGTTGCTTTCATTAGACAGATCAGTTCATCCTTATGTCATCAGTAGGTAAGTAGTGCACCCTCTATTGGTGGAGGGTTGGTTTCTATGGTTTCATTTACTTGAACTTAATGCACGGAGAGACAGCCAAAATCCAGTTGAGGTAGGTATGAGTCAAAGGGACCAAATTCGTTTTACAAGTACACAACACTAATGTTATGAACCATGATTTGACATAACAGTTCAAAGAACACTCAAGAAAAGCACAGACAACATTAGGATTCTAACACAAGGCTATTCGTCATATGAACATGTTTAATGTAGCATGGAATGCAAAAGATAAGGACCATTGATCACATCTAATACTACTACAACTTTTAAAAAATAAATAAACACAAAAAAGGATAGTGACCAGAATAATAGTACTAATATAATCACATTAAATAGAAAACCTTCCATCAGCATTTTAAGAATGTAACAACAGCATGATGCATTTTTTAAATGCATATTCCATTCAATTTTATAATCTATTTTTCATAAAAATGTTCCCTTGAAGAGAGGCTTCAGATACCCATGAAAAGATGATAATTCAGTTTAGAAATACATAATATGCCAGGATTTGTTAGTTCATTGTTTTTAAAGTACCTTAATTTGCTCTTAGATACTTTAAATACTATATTTCACACATACGACAGGTGGCACTTTGCCTACATTAGAATTATATAAATCTTCAGATGTACATTTACATTTTTTACTTTGAATCTTACCATATTTTATAAGTTTATTTTCATTTCTATTTTTAAAGGCTGACCAGGTTATTTGCCAATACAGTATTAGGATCAACAAATGTTGGACTATACTACATTTAGTTATAATATAGCTAATGTATCCAATTTCAAGTAATACATGGGAAATGACATACCTTAATTCATATTTAGCTGTTCCTTTGAACCAAAAATATTAATTTTATGAATGTGATAAACAGCCTTATTGTATGCTTTTCTTCAAATGAGCAGTACCGGTAGCAAATACATAACTCCTATAACTCTGACTACCAAGAAATGAAGCCAAATTTTAGAAAAATACAATGCAAGAAAAGATTCAAGTTAAAAATATATTCCTTTGGTTAAAAATCATACTCTCTCTAATATTCATTTGTAGTCTAAACTCTCAGCATATCCCACCAGCCCAAAGTAATCTTCTAAATATCATCATGTTTGTTGTATTACAATGTTTTTTCAACCCAGTACTTGTGGAGGTCACTGGGCTGCAGCAAACTATTTTAACTCTAGGAAGGATATATAGCCTTGTTTCATTAGCTCCTTTGACAAATGTCTTTCTTAAAAGATTTTTACTTTAGAAACCTCCGACACATGTAGTTTTCTTCAGATACTGTATATCCAAACTTTTTATAGAAACCAACATTTTGTGGTAGACATTCAAGGGTAATCTTATAACAGTTCAGTTTCTTGCTTAGCAAAGTAAGGGTTGATAATAACCTGAAATTTTAAAAAAAGGGAGGGGGGACATAGAGCATTTATTAATAAAAATATACTTTAGTAACTTAATATTACATAAAATTTCAAATTTATATTGGAAATAGGTTTAGGTCATAGCCATTCCCACTATATATTCATTTAAGTATTGTAAATGGATAAGCATTTAAATCACCCAAAACATTTTAGTTTGTTTCAAATATACATTATCTGATCATCTTCAGCCTGCTAATGAATGGGACAAATACTAAACTCACCCTAACCCTCTTTAAAAATAAGTTTTAAGATGATTAACACTGAAGATTGTCAGGCTTTTAAAAAATATGGCCTATATTAAAGTATTTTTTTCTAAGTCTATTCAAACTACGTAGGAATAATCAACATTCCCACATGAAATGGGTAAGTAACAGCTTTGTTCTTTATCGTTTTTAAATCTACTCTAATATTTGTGAAAGTAGATGCGAGATTAATTCTGGATTGGTCCAATTAATATGAAGTAGAAACAAAGCAAAAAAGTATACATCTTTACAACTCCTTAAAAAATCAAAATCCAGAATATGAGTGGGATTCTGACTGCCTTGGGGGTTAAAAAAAAACACACAAAAAAAAACACCTTAAAAAGATCTACAAGAATTTACCTGAAGTGTTTTCTCATGTTTGCATAAACTGAAAAATCGTATCAATCTGAAGACAGAACATCTTGATTGAAGTTAGAAAATTATAAAGGATATGACAAAGTGAAGACTACAATACCAGAAATTTGGTCTGTTTTTAAAAGATTTAGGTAAATGTATAGAGGATTATACAGTAAAGGCTGTTTTAGTATGTTTCTAAAACTTAGGAGACTAAGAACATTTTTTTTTAGATATGACAGAGAAATGAGGAAATCACCTGACTCAGCCAAAAGTTTCCTACTCCTGTGAGAATAGAACTTAAAAATCAGTAACGCCCGGCCGGGCGTGGCTCAGCGGTTGAGTGCTGACCCAGGATCCAGGCGACGGGTTCGATTCCCGGTCAGGGCACATGCCCAGGTTACGGGCTCGATCCCCAGTCGGGGCCGTGCAGGAGGCAGCTAATCAATGACTCATCATTGATGTTTCTATCTCTCTATCTCCTTTCCTCTCTATGAAATCAATAAAGATATATTGTTTTTTAAAAAAATCAGTTACATATGTTACTCTCTGCAAAATAGCACACTTCCAATTTCTAAACTTTATGGTAAAACTAATTTAAAAATACTTTTTCTCCATTAAATTCAGTCTAAGCTATAGAGTAAGAAAGGATTCGTAATTCATGACACCTAAAAAGGACTTCAAACAGGAAAACATGTTTAACAAGTATCTTGGCAAGGAACTGTAAACTGAAACACAAAAGCATCTTAGTTTATCCAGGGTTACCTTGCTTCTGCCTACTTACAGTTTGCCAAGCTGCTTTCCTCTGCATGCATCGCTAACAACAACATCTTCTACTCTTCCTCTCTGAAAATATTTACAGTGTTTAAAGGACTAAGAATGTAGGTTTGTTTTTAGGTGAATCAATAAGTGATGTATGGTAAAAACTTAACATAAACTAAAATGCAAAATCTTTTTACTTATAGAGGAAGTAATACAATGAATCAATTTATGGTCTAATCTTGTTGTCTATATCCTGAACCTCCCCACCCTGATGTTTTAAAGCAACTCTCAAAATCTGAAGTACCAAAAGGCAATTTTGTTACGAATGTACTACATCCATCATCCTACTACTTCCTTAACAGCAATTTATTTCAGACATCCAAATACAATTTAGTAATTTCTAGTATAGAAACTCCACCAAAATTCCTGACCGAAAACAGTCCAAATGTTCCTATCTTTACTGTTTCATGTGAGTCTTGAGGAGTAATGGGGTTCAGTAGGCATTAGAAATGCCATAATTAGAAAAGAATACAGTATTCTGTATCCTTTACCACTTGGTAACTGATGGAAATTTGTGTTAGTGTAGTATATAAAAAGTACTCTTTATTAAAACAAAACAAAACACAGCGTTAGGGATTCTAAAGATTACTGCCAGATTTCATGAGGCTTGTTTTCTCTATGACCATATCAAATCTAATACCTTACAGAACAATTTTTAGCAAACAATTCATATTGTTAACACGTTTTCTTCCTCATAACTCAGAACAAAATGGGAAACTGTCTATTACTAAAGGATTTCTAAGCAGAACATTTTCAGGGCCATATACCTCTCATTTTACAATGAAAAGCAGTGAGAAAACAGATTTCTCTAATAGACACAACATAAGTTTTGCTAGAAAACACCTGTCCATTTTAGCTTATAAGCATTAATATGAACACATACCTTAGCACAGGAATGGATGAATTTATGTTCTATTATCAAAGTTGCTGTAGCAACGATCTGTCCTAAAGTCACATCTTCCACAACTGTAACATAATAATCCCCAGATTTCTTCATATGCTCAAAAGATTCTGTGGAAATTGGAAGACAGTGTTATGTTATGTGGCAGACATTAAGCTTTATTAGGTGGCAAAAAATACTAGGGTTAGCTGGCTTCATTATTGAACATTTAGAGCTATTTCACCATAGTAATTTATACTTTGTTTCTAAGAAAGTATTTTAAATGGCCAAGTAGTTGAAGTATCAGCAATCAATAAATTGGAATGTATGCCCAGCTGGTGTGGCTCAGTGGTTGAGCATCGACCTAGGATCCAAGAGATCACAGTTCAATTCCCAGTCAAGGCACATGCCCAGGTTGTGGGCTCCATCCCCAGTAGGGGGCGCGCAGGAGGCAGGCCACCAATGACTCTCTCATAATTGATGTTTCTATCTCTCTCTCCCTCTCCCTGAAATCAATAAAGATATATTTTAAAAATAAGTTTGGGATGTAGTTCATACATTTAAAGAATGTGCTAACAAAGTAAGACTAGCCATTTTAGATGAACAGCACTTACACAAATAAGTTGCAAGGTGTGCCGCTTCTGTGACTAATGAATCATTACTTAATTACTTTAAATCAATGTCTTGAACTTTTACACTCAACATGAATAGAACAAAACTGCAAATTTTAACAAAAGAATGTTTTTACATGGCTCCATTCTGTAATTTTTAATCTGGTTTCCAAATATTTTGACAAAAGTAGTTCTCAGTTTTCCCTTTGTGATCTCAAGTGTTTCATGATTATATGCCTTGCTTTTTAGAAATTACAGTCGTCATTTTGTTTCCTTTGAAAGCACCTTGTGAAATAGGTGAAAAATGTCTCCATTCTCAAGTAATTTTCCCAAAGTCACAGCAAAATGGAGCAAAGATAAAATAAGAAAGGAAGAGAATAGAGGGGGGCGGGTGGGTGGAGCAGAAGAGATTAACCAAAGAATTTATACGCACATATGCACAACCCAAGGACACAGAAATGGTGTGGAGAGGGACTTGGGAGGGGGGTGGGGGGGTGAAATGGGGAGAAAAGGGGACATCTGTAATATTTTGAACAACAACAACAAAAAAAGTGGGGAAAAAATCAGAAAACAAAAAACTTGGCAGTGTGTACATACCCATCAATCACTACTTTAAATGTGAATGAATTAAATGCTCCAGTAAAAAGCTGAGTGGCCCTAGCCTGTGTGGCTCATTTGATTCAGTGTCACCCTGTGCACTGAAAGGTCGCCAGTTCAATTCCCAGTCAGGGCACATATACCCAGGTTGCGGGTTTGATTCCCCAGTCAGGGTGTGTTCAGGAGGCAACCTATCGACGTTTCTCACATTGAGGTTTCTCCCTCTCCCTTCCTCTTTCTAAAATCAATATAATTAAAAAAAGTTGACTGGGTAAGGAAGATATGGTACAGATATACAATGGAATATTAATTACTAGGCCATAGAAAAGAATGCAGTCTTATCATTTGTGACAACATGGATGGACCTAGATGGTACTGTACTAAGTGAAATAGGTTGGACAGAGAAAGACAAAAAACATGATTCCACATATACGGGGTGGGGCAAAAGTAGGTTTATAGTTGCTCGTATGGAAAAATACAACAATAACAATAGAATAAACTGTAAACCTACTTTGCCCCATACTGTATGTGGAATCTAAAAACATAAACAAGCAAGCAAAACAGACAAACTTAAACATACAGAGAACCAATTAATGGTTGCCAGTGGGAGTGGGGTTGGAGGTTGGGTAAAAAAAAGTGAAGGGTTAAAAAAAATGAAGGGATTGAGAAGTACAGACTGTTGATGTAAAGTACAGCATACGGAATACAGTCAATATTGTAACTATATGGTGCCAGGTAGGTAGTGGGAGTATTGGGGATAACACTTTCTAAAGGATCTGACTGTTGAACCACAATGCTGTACACCTAGAACTAATAAAAAATAGTATTGAATGTCAACTGTAATTGAAAAGAATTTTTTTTAAAGACCAAAAATAGCTAATTAGTTATTTGAATAATTTCTATTTGAATAAAAACATATATATAGTATAGACTGAAGAGAGCTCTAAATAAAAATAAAATCTTGTTTCCCTTTATTTCTTTTCATTCAGGAAAAAAAAAGGCTGTGGTACTTACTCATAAATTGTTCAGGATTGACAACTCCAGTCTCTGTCAGCTGACCTAGTACCTTAAAAAAACCTAGTTTTGCAAAAACACATTTCCAGTCATGAGAAGAGGTAATGAAAGATATCAAATGAGACAATGCATTAAATAAGCAGGTGGTATTATGAGTAATTATTTTTTCAAAACTTTAATAAGTCACTTAAAAATTACTTCAAAAGATTAAATTAAAACCCTTTATTCTTTCTATTTATGTAGTGATTATAAAATAATCAAGGAATAATAAATAGGTTTTACCAATGTTTTTGCCTGCATAAGATTTTTGGAATAGTGCTAACATTAATATTCAATATATTCAATATTTATAGAACCAGCGTGTACATTTCTCAATGCAATTTGCATTAAATACAATGCAAGGGATGCCTAATTTTCCAAATATGTGCTTTGGTTTTACTTAAAAGTGCAAGATTCTCCATGACCAAATATGATACACAAAATATGAATAATTTAATTGTTGAGACTACATTTTTAAAATATTCCTGATTAATTTCATTAATGTTAAAGTAATGTGCACAGCACACTTTAGAACTTCGAGAATCTTAACTTCTATACAGTCAATAACTAATTTTACCAAAATTAGTTTCTTCGTGTTTCCTACCAAAAGGAAAATGGAAAAAAATTGATTTTCGATTACTAAAATTTAAGGAAATCATTTTGGAGAATGTCAGTGTTAAAAAATGAAAATATGTAGACAAAACCTTTTGCAACTTATGCAAGGCAAATTATCTCTACCCTCATTCCTCATCCAGCTTCTTAGAGAAGATTCTTACATGATAATTTCACCTTCATGAGAAGTCTTTTGGCTTCTTATAGGAAGGAGCAATGTTGTACTTAAGTCATTTGAAATATTTCACAGTAATATCTGGTCTTATCCATGACACATTACACACTGAAATTGAGGGTCTCAGTCATTTTAATAATTAAATACAAAAAATAATCCAGTCAAATAATATTATTTTTTAAAATTATCACCATAATCAGGATGTTTGTGGAGAAAAGAAAATGCTAGCTACAATTCTAACCAGGATTTGTAAACTGAGTCCATACCTCTATTTAAATCAGCAGTACAAAGAGGCCTCAAAACCAAACCTTCTCCAGGGTGTGTTGGGGAAATGGCTGGAGAAAATGTAGCTGTATTCTGGCTCCAGTCCACTTCTTGGAGTAGACTTGGGTCAAACATAGGTGTTTCATCAGGTTTCATCTTTGCAGTAAGATCTAAAATAAAATTTTAAATGTTAAGGCATTTTATTTAATGGAAGGAAGGTTACAATGATTGCTATACCCAGTTAAAGAAATTATTCTATTTGATACCTGCCTCTAGCTCAAAGATATATATCAATAATAGACTACCATAAAACAAGGAAGCAATACAGGAAAAATTAAAGTCCCTTTAATGACAGAACAGTTTCCCCAATAACCCAACCCCTAGATGTTCCCTGTTTCACAAGTCAGTATGCTTAAAGGCAACTCTTAACTTTTTCTTCATCTTCTGCTTATATAACCCGATGTAACTATATAGGTAATGCTATAGAGTAATGGAGGCTTTGGGAATGTGGGGTGGTATAGTAACAGAAACTAACATTGTTCAGAACTTACTATGTACCAGGCATTGTTCAAAGAACTTTACACACTACTAATTCAATTACTTCAGCAGTTCTGCAGGGATGATTATTATCTCTACTTTAACAGATGAGGAAATGCAGGCAGACTCATTAAGTTACTTGCCCAAGGTCACAAAATTAGTGGAGCCAGGATTTAAACCTACGCATGGAAAGAGCATGAGCTCTGGAATCAGACCTGGGGTTCAAATGTCAACTGTGTGACCGAGGCTAAGGTAAGTAAACTCTGAGAATGTTTTCTCGTTTGTCAAATGGAAAGGAAACTACTGGCAGGATGAAATGAATTACTGTATACAAGCACCTGACAGTGCCTACCTACCACATTGCAAGTGTTCAACAGGATAACCTTTAGTTAGCAATTAACTTAAAATTCATGTTTATAATTCTTGTTAATTTTTTTTACCTTTAATGAGTCAGGCACTGCTGGATACAGGTGCTACAAAAAGAACGACAGGTTGTCTATTATGTTTATGTTAAACTAAAAGCTTTCTAGGCTAGGAAAGAAGAAATTTTTTAAAAATTATAGTTTATTATATAGAATACTGAAAGGTTTTTTCTTTCATTCCCCCCTCAAAAAGGACTCAGATCATGTTATATTCTAAACACTATTACCTGGCTCTAAAAATAGTAAGGGAAGGAAATAACTTTTGATGATTAAAACAATCATTCCTATCAAATTTAACAAGCCTACAGTCCATTTGAAACATTTTTTTGTAGGTTAATTTTAGTGTTTGTCCCTGATAATTGGGCCCCTGAGGCTTTTGTGTGTACTCTCATCTGAGTGATGGGTAGTAATGTTGTTTTTTGGGTATGCAGATAACTGGCTAAATATTTATCAATAAAATGTGTACATTAAATGCAGATGCCAGAAAGTATTAAGAATTTAAGTTCCTCAAAGAAAGTTCAGAGGGGAATTTAAATGAACATTAAGACAATTACAAGTTAAATAGATTCCTTTTTCCTATAAAGTTGTCTGAGTTTACAACAAAATGTCGACTAGAAAACATGCAAAATAACGTTGATAATTTCCAAGAAAGAGGAGAGAGGTACACAGAAGAATTAGACTTACTAAGCCTTTACTAATGAATTTTAAACAGTAAATTCTAATATTTTCCTGTGCATTTCTTAAACCAGATGGCCCTATTCCATGATCATAAAAATGAATGATACTGGCTAACATTTATTGAACACTTTCCATTTGTTAACTCAAAAATACAATAAAGATGTATCATTATTATTCCCATTTTGCAGAGCAGGAAACAGGCACAGCTACTTGCCCAAGATAACAGTCAATAAGAAAGAGACGTAAGATTCAAAAAACAGGATATGGGGCCAGTGTCATGGGGACTGGACATGTGTGGTTGCACAGGGCCCCACACTTGGATTAATTCTCTGCTACCACCTTCTTGCATTTACAAGGCCCACATATGCCTAACCTTAGCCCTAAATGCCTAGTGAATGAATAAAAAATGGTGTAAGACTTATCTGGAGGTCACATTTCAGAAAATCCAGAAGGAAAAAGATTTGCAACTTGCCACAACTGATGTAACAAAAACCATACACCAAATTTAATTTTACTAGGATCACATCAGTTTTTCGTTCAGTTGATTCTTTGGACACAATTCTAACAATCTGGTTTCCCAGCCTCTGTAGCAGACTAGAATACAAATGGGGAGGAGCTGCTGCTAGAAGCAAGCAATTGAAAGCAACAAGTAATAGACACCGGGAATGAAGATTTTTAAAAGTTGGTATAAAAAAATTAAAAACTAATCTAAGGCCAAATCTAAACTGTTTTATGTATTTCCAGAGCTCCTGGGGCATCACTACACTACCTCAGTACATTGTGAATGGGAGAAAGGGAGACTTGTGCTGTTTGAGACTAGGGTTCGCCTACATACATTTAACAATTTCAATAATAATTTGAACTTTTAATCTAAAGAACACTCCACTCGCTGATGACTTCAATAGGCCTGGCAATATTACTAAACTGCAATTACACTTGTTAGTATTTTCTGGTAGTTTCTCTTATCCTTATAATCTAGGCTTTATTCCCAATCTTTGGGCCAGGAAACAAGCACGTGGAGCTTCCAGGAACTGACCCCAAGGTAGCACACAAAAGAGTTGGACTAGATGTTTTCCCACCTTGAGATCTACACTACCATATTAAATTGACACTAATCTTTACATCATCCTAAAAAGAACTGATCTAAATGATTTCTTGAGATTCATTCCTCAGTTCGTTCATGAGTGGGTATCTTAACAAAACGAATCCCATAATCGCCTGCTTAATTTTGTATGAAATGGAGTTCGGTTTACATAAACACAAGCTCCTATAAAAGAAATCACAGTACTCGGTGTTTTAGGGGTAGAGGCCCGGGAAAGGAGACAAAGGATGCCCCTCTCTCCCGCAGTGAAGCCCCGATTTAGTCAGTGCAGGAGGTGATCTTAGGAGCAGGAGCAGGTCCTCAAGTGGCTCACAACTGCTGTGGGGTGCACCTCGGAAAGGAACGGGGCGAGGGGGCGTTCGTGCCCATTCAAAACCGACGGCGGCAGAGACCGAGCAGCTGTCTGGATTCCCAAGCCAAAGGCCGGTGGGCGAAGAGTGAGTGTCCACCCCGGACCCTGCTCCGGCCCGCCCACGGACGCGGTCGCATGGCAGGACCACCGGCCACGACCCCGAGCTCTGCTCCAGGCGCGCGTCGGCTCCACCGGCTCTGAACCGCGCTCGGCACCCCCGCGCGCGCGCAGCCGGCGGGCGAGGATAAATGCCCGGCTCCCCAGCGGGTCCGCTCGCGCCCCCACCCAGGGCCTAACTCGCCTAGCCCGGGGCAGCAGTCACCTGTTGGATGAATCGCAAGGCAGGCCCGCCGCGGCGCCCGGGACCCCGGCCCTCAACCCTCCTCACCCGTGCAGGCCCCGCCGTCGCGCTCCTCTCCCGGGCCGCAGGACTGTCACCCACCCAGGTGCACAACACTGGACCCGGATCCG